GAATGTGCTCTCTTATTAGTATGATAGTCCATACAGCTTGTAATGTATCTTTCAAGGTCTTCAAAAAAAAAAAAAATTATGAAAATACAAGGATCTTGAAGTGTAAATCTAAAAAAATGTGGCACATGAGGACATCAATAATTCCAATTGTAGCTGGATCCTCGGACTGATTAGAAAAGTGTCCAATAGACTCATTGAATCGATTCCTAGTAGCCCATGCCTTAACGAAATACAAAAAAAAATACTTACAAATACAGCTCACACAATACGAAGAGTTTTATCTGTAAAATGTATGTGATCTTAGGTTTTCTTTTAATCTGTTTTTTGTTTCCAAAAATGATGAGTGGTAAATATCATGAAGCCATTTCTGACCTTAGATCTCTGATTGGGACCCGGAAGGAAATTTTTCTACAACAGAAATCAAAGAAAAAATAATTCGTGCTTTGGGGTTCTGAACTTAAAGTCCTATATTAAGAAAATCGGAATAAAGTCTAATATTCCATTGCTACATTGCTTTGCTCTGCAAATATTCTGCGAAAAGGTTTTATCGGTTTGGAGTCTGTACGATTTGATGGAGAACACCCATAATGCAAGATCACCAGTTGAAAGGAAAAATCATGCAACGAAGATAATGTCAATCAAGTCTGACCGACTGTAAACTCCAAGATCGTTTCATTAGCCGCAAAGCACGTGTTTCGCCAGGGTTACATATGGTCTTTTGTACTTCTCCTAGACTGACTGCCATCCAAGGTTGAAGATCGCAGTCATCCCTACTATTTAACCCATAACTGAGGAGAGTCATGAATTCATACCAATATCAAGTAAATGCAACAAATATCGTTTGGAACGACAACTCGTCTCTTCGATTTCTCGTTACGTGCCGCTTATTTATTACACTACCCGGACACTCGAAGATGTTAATAATAATAATAATAACAACAATAATAATAATAATAAGAAGAAGAAGAAGAAGAAGAAGAAGAAGAAGAAGAAGAAATTTAGTAAATTGAATTAAAAAAAATGAATAGAACGTTAAAATGTCAGCAGTGTCCATAAATATTGGAGCAACTAGAACAGTACTAGAGAGTCTTGAAATTACCGGTTACGGTTGGCGTGAATAACCATTGAGTTCAAATATTAATGATAATATAATGATGAATAGGAAACTCCAAAAAGGAATGAAATACTGGAATATATGAGATTACAAAGTAGGATTTTATATTCACGCGGTTCCTCATTCTCAGCGATTACCACTAAATATCAGCTGTGAGCAGACAAACGACTGATGTAATAATAATAATAATAATAATAATAATAATAATAATAATAATAATAATAATAACAAGCATTCGAGCACGATATACCAGTTATAGATACGATGGGAGGTTCATATTTTAGGTCAGTTGGACATGTTCCCTGAGCGCTGACAAAACCTGTCACTATATCGCACATGTTTGGTTTGTTTATTTTTTATGTTTTTTTTTATCACTTCACCCAAGCAAGACGATAAAGCCACTAGGGACGCAAGGGGTTACTGAAAGTGAAAAGAGAATGAAAAAGACTTTAGAAGAAATTGGAAACCCAAGCCTAATCAGGAAACAAGGGATAAAATCCCTACTCCTGCTCAAAAAAGGAGTATGAACCAGAAATGTGCCTATTGTTATCCGCATACGTGTCATGAGAGGTGTATTTGGCTTCCTATACATCTACCCCTACGTTACATTGTTGGCATGCTGCCCACTAGCTCACTAATAATAATAATACGAATACAAATCAAAAGAACGTTGAAATAAATTATTTCATGCAGGCCAATAAAGACAAAACACATAAAAATGACTAAGTGCAGAGGATGAAAAGAAACAAAAATGTCAATCTTACGATAAGAGCATGCACGAAATGTTTTTGGTAGCGTAACGATTATCGGCACTGAAAGTGGAATCGGTGAATCAGGTTCAAATCCCACTCTAGATTGTTGTTTTCATTTTAGCACTAATGAACTTGGGGATTGCATGAATACAATCCTCCTCCTTGGTTATAGGCTAACTAGAAGCGTAATCTATGCTCTTTAGCCTTGAGTGGAAGCTAGTCTGGTTCACACCCCTTCCAGGACATTTGAAGAGGAGTAGAGGTTTATCTCTTGTTTCATGTTTAGGATTGGGTTTCTATTTCATTCTAAAGCCTTTTTCATTCTTCACTCCAAGGAGCCCCCTTGCACCTTAATGGCATTATCGCCTTGCTTGGAATGAGTTAATTAAAAAATAAATAAATAAATAATAATACTAATAATAAAACAGCCAAATATGCACGATATAGTGACAGGTGTTGACACCCTTCATGGGAACGCCCAACTTATTATAGTGAGATAGCCGACAAGCAACTAGTCGTAGTAATCATGCATTTGCTTTTGTTTACACCAAAAGCCAAATTTCGAGAGCCTTTCTCAATATACCAGATCTCTATTGTATCAATCCTTCCGCGGATTTTGAATTCATACAGTATTGAGTTCAGTATTTTGGACATAGTTTAAAATGTATCCACTATTATTGGCATGATTTTAACTATCACGTTCCAACTTCTGAGCGAAGTCCAAGTATTTCTCGAAGAAAGTTTTGGAATCAGGCAAATTACTGAAGAAAGTGTTGGATATTGAAGAATGAATGCCGTCTCTTTATCCCCAGTAATGGCAACTGGAAACCACTGATGCAAATAATAATAAGAAAAAGAAGAGTGAAACTAAATAATAATTGTGAGAAACTAAATAAATACAAGGACCTCAAGATAGAAATCAGTAGAACGTGGCATCTCAAGGCAATATTATCTGTTATTTGGGGTTTTTTTAATTGGAGTTTTGGTAATGTTATGAAAAGAAGCAAACAGATATGTAGAAAAAATTACTGGAAGCTGTAAATTATATTAATTGCAACAAGTTTTCCAAATCCAAAACCAGGGCCTTTTTACTACTGTGAGAGGGGAACCCCTCATTGTTGACTTTCGCCGGTTCCTATCTCTGGCCATACTGGGTCATGTGGGGCCGACGCATCAGGTTATTTCGTGTGCCATCTTGAAAAAAAATCATACTCATAGGTATATCTTGCGTAGATTTCTCTCTCTCTCTCTCTCTCTCTCTCACTCTCTCTCTCTCTCTCTCTCTCTCTCTCTCTCTCTCACTCTCTCTCTCTCTCTCTCTCACTCTCTCTCTCTCTCTCTCTCTCTCTCTCTCTCTCTCTCTCTCTCTCTCTCTCTCTCTCTCTCTCTCTCTCTCTCTCTCTCTGCAGTGGCCAGTATTACAAGGCACCTCATCTGTGTGTTATCTCTTGAAGTCTCTGGCTGAGATTTGGAGAAGACTCGTACTATACAAAGAAAAATAAAAGACAATAATAATAATAGTATAAAAACTAAAAAAGTAAAAGGCTGGAAAAAATATCAAAAGCTTGTGTAGGGGCTGAAAAAAAACCGTGGAATGTAAAAGTTAGGGTAGTGCCCATAATAATGGGCGAACTTGGAACCATGCAAAAAGAAATTAAAGTATTGGATGAATTAGGAATTTTTGGAAGAGCTGCTGGAGATCTGAAAAAATTGCTATTATTCAGTCTCCAGTGATAAACACCAAATTTCCAGTGTCAGGAATAATAATAATAATAAAAATAATAATAATAAAGGATAATAATATGAATATATACTTTTCATGTTTTATTCTAATCTCTTTTAGAAAATTTCATAAAGAAACAAAAAAGAGGAAGACAAATGGGGTGAACTTGTAAAAATTTAAAAATAAAACAAAGAGCGCATTTATTTTTTTAAAGGGGGTAAAATCAACGGGGGAAAAGCAGGTTGGGGAGAGTCGATGAAAAAAGATTGGCAACGTGAAAAATCAAAGCAGAAACTTGCGTCAAATGATTGCCTCCGAAAAGTGAAAAAGAGAAGAAAGAAACACAGAAAAAAGAAACAGAAAAAGGAAACAAAAAAGAAAAGTAAAATTGCAGCAAATAGCTGAGGAAAAAAAAAGTAAAGAAGCAAGAAAAAAAAACAACATTTAATCAATGGATTACTTACTGACGGAGCAGATAGACTAAAGAACTTTTCTTAAAAGTATATAAATATATGAATACAAACACGCAAATGCCTTCACGCACATGTAAAGAGTAGAAATATTTAATGAAAAAATATACTCAGAAAAAAGGACGGGAGCGATTGATGTGATAAAATAAAAACAAAGACGAAAAGACGTAAGATAATGAAGAAAAGTGTGAATAAAGAAAATAACTATGCATAAAATAAGATAAATGGCTTGAAATAACTCATGAGCACTTTTTCAATGATGCTTCATAGCAACTCACACAAAAAGCGAACTCACCAAGAACAGATCAATGATGTTACGTCAAAACATGGCGTGAAGGTTTTTGCAGCAAACGCCATCTTGTTTTTTTTTTTTGTTTTTTTTTTTGCTGCTAACAAGCGACTTTCTTAATAGATCAAAATGAAGCGCAATGAATGACTGAAGCAAGCACCAAAAAAAAAAAAAAAGAAAAGAAAAAGGCAACAAATAATCATTAAAATATAACTATGTTATCTGCGTAGAAGTGATATTCAGTGAAAGGGCCCCGGAATTTTACCAGTATATGATGTATTTCGATGATGAACATGGTAAAACAATTTAATATTGAAAGCATTTGCCTATATAGCTTCGTGATAATGTATTGAAAGACGCAGTCACGTCAGTGAGGTTCGGAGACATAAACGATCCAAGAAAATGAAATACGGAAACTAAAAATCAAAATAAATTAATAAATAAATCAACTAGCATAAAATAAAATTTTTATAGCCTTTAGAAATTTAGTTCGGAATGCTAAAATGATATAAATTATTTAAAATCTTAGAATCAAACTTAGAATTAAAAAGTGTTTCTGTGAAATACTAGCGAAATGATAATTTTACTATCAAGCCTCTTACTGCGAGATAGATAGATAGATAGATAGATACGTACATACATACATATACAGTCAGATAGATAGATAGATAGATAGATAGATAGATAGATAGATAGGCAGGCGGACAGATATATACATACATATACAGGCAGATACATACATATATAGATAGATAGATAGATAGATAGATAGATAGATAGATAGATAGGCAGACAGACAGACAGACAGATATATACATACATACATACATGCATGCATGCATGCATGCATATACAGGCAGATAGATAGACACATAGACAGACAAACAGATACATACATACATACATACATACAGATAGATAGATAGATAGATAGATAGACAGACAGACAGACAGACAGATACATACATACATACATACATGCATATACAGGCAGATAGATAGACACATAGACAGACAAACAGATAGATAGATAGATAGATAGATAGATAGATAGATACATACATACATACATACATACATACATACATATACAGATAGATAGATAGGCAGTCAGACAGATAGATACATACATACATATACAGGCAGATAGATAGATAGATAGATAGATAGATAGATAGATGGTATCATTCTATTATACCGCTTTTGTTAAATATGACAAAGATTAAATATTTTATTAAGTATTTTTTTTGTGTCCTTAAAATTTTTCTTTTTTTTTATGACTATGTCCGTAGAGAAATTATTCTATTACTTATTTTCCTGTAACCATATTCGAGTTTGGTTTATTTTCGTAGTACCGAAGATTATTATTTCCTTTTGTTCGCTATAGTGTGCTGTGTGAGAGGTATTTTTATAGTATTAATTTCATTCTTCGTGGAGGTTTTGCTTAGTTTCCAAACACAACCAAGACTGTTTGGTCCCGTTATGGCATTCATATTTAATTCTTTCTTTAAGTTGCTTAATATTACTTGGGCGCGTCTGATAAACAAATGATTTCAAATGCCCCCACAGAAAAAAAAAGATTCAAGGGTATGAGGTCTGGAGACGTCGGTGGTCACTTAACGGTACCTATCAAAACAAATTAGACATTTAAAACATGATTAATTAATTAACCTTTATGGTTTTCGACTTTTGTTCACCCTGTATATATATTGTTATGGGACCTTACAGATAATAACATAATGGACTATTCCATACATAATAAATACTGCGCCTCAAGAGGAAGCAGAGAGTCCCGTCTGAAGTCTAGAGTTCAGTCTGAAGTCTGGAGTGAAGTCCGTCAGGAGTCTGTCAGTCACTCAGAACGAGCGAGTCAGTCAGTCGAGTCAGAGGCAGTCCGAAACAGAGTCGCGTTCAGACAATTACTACTAAACCTGATTGTTCGTACTAACACTTTCTACTTCTCTGTATATATTCCTGTTTGTAATACATCTGTGTTATTCATATCCGTATTCGAGTTCTTCTTTATTGGTTCTACCTTGGACTATCACCGTGGTACAAGGAACCGGACCATAACATATATATATATATATATATATATATATATATATATATATATATATATGAAAAAATACAGTTTTAAGGTGTGCTATATTTATGGGATAAAGTGCTCAATATCAGAACGTATGTAAATATGAATATAAAAGTGAACATTGAAGTCAACACTCAGAGGCGTCAGCCTGGCGATTGCGCCTAGCATGAAACAGCCTGTCGCCTCTGCGTTTTGACTCAATGTCCAGGATAGAGTAAGAATATAATATAAAAGTCTCAAACACTAATATTCTGTGGTTATAATCAAATTAAAGCAAACATTCAAACATTAGAACAGCTCATGATCAAACATAATAGACATTCATTGTTTGTTATATTTAATAATATATATTTAAATAATTATCTACTGCCCAATAATACATATATATATATATATATATATATATATATATATATATATATATATATATATATATATATATACCTAAGTATAGGATTGTGTATACGGAATAAATTCCAATAACCAAAAATACTATTCTTAAAAAGTGCCAAAACAGAGTATAAATATGTTATAAAATCCATTTATGTTAAAATTTTCGAATAAATTACACACACACACAAACACATATAGATAGATAGATAGATAGATAGATAGATAGACAGACACGTGTATGCGTGTGTGTATGTGCTTGTTTAAAATGTGCTATGTTGATGGAAGGAGGGTGCTCAATAAGGACTAGAATATATGTATATATATATATATATATATATATATATATATATATATATATATATATATAATATGTATGCGTGTGGTCTAGTAAATAAAGCATGCGTTAAATACAAATAATTTTGTAGACATGAGGTCATGTTAATTAAGAGCATTAATCTTATCGTCATATGTATGTATACGGTAGAGATCAGGCTTGATGACAAGATTAATGCTTTTCCGTGCTTACCGAATTATTTATATTCAACCCACGCTTTACTTACTTGACCACACACGCATGTACAAATACACGCGAGTACACATACGTGTGTCTGTGCGTGAGTGTGAAAATAAAATGTGATACTGAGAAATAATTGGGAAATGACAAACTTGGTATTTTATTGCGAGATTAACAAATAAAATAACAAGGTCTCTTCAAGGAAAATTTATGGTTGCTTATATATATATATATATATATATGGGGTGATATATATATATATATATATATATATATATATATATATATATATATATATATATATATGGGGGGTGATAGAGAAATGCGAGAAGGGGGAGAAGGAGTGAGAAAGTGACAAATGGAAAATCTGCATTCATTCTCTGATAACGCCGGTTCATCGGTGAATCATGTCAAAGTAGAAGTTTTTATATATATATATATATATATATATATATATATATATATATATATATATATATATATATATCGTACAGGTCATAGATCCGTTAATATATAATCCCAGTTGATTCTAGTAATATCAGATATTGAACCTGATCCACAGAGAGAGCTCAAGGAGGAGGACTGTCATATAGTTTTTTTCTGTAATAGACTATACTCGCATAAAGAAATTTTGAATGTTTTGCTGTATAAAATATGTATGTGTGTGTTTAGTGGGTGAGTGGTTGTGTGCTTGCGTGTGTATGTGTGTATATATATTGTTTTAAAAATATTTATAAGGAGAGAGTGCTCGGTATCAGAGATCGTATCTATCTATCTATCTATCTATCTATCTATCTATCTCTCTCCATATATATATATATATATATATATATATATATATATATATATATATATATATATGTCAATTGGAGGCCAAGTACAAAATCCTTGTTTACAGAGCAAAGGCTTCGTTGATGAAATATATATAGCCACCAATATTTTATCAACGAAGCCTTCGCTGTGTAAACATTGATTTTGTTCTTCACCTACAATTAATTTCCAGAGTCTGTCTATATTTCTGAGATGAGGTATTATGTACATTATTTACATTATTCGGACTATTGTCCTCATCTTTGTCGCCATATTTATCACAACGTTTCGGCCATTGTACGCTCCGGCCTTCTTCAGGTGGTTGGAATTTCGAACTGAACCCTTTATTTCGCTCACTAGGGTAGACTGTTCTAGTTCCACGTGCCATGTTTGATGGATGTCAGTTATCAGTTTATCTCCTGCTAATTTCCCTCTGAAAGTTCTCCACCGCCTTAATCGGGTATTGAACTCACACTCTTTGGGTCCTGTCACTGGATCTAACCAACGCCTTTATCCACTGTGCCATGTGTCCTTGAGGACAATTAATTTCCATCTAATATTTTTTCTCCCTTAGATTTCATTCTTTTAATACATAATATATACATATTTATTAACCTCGATTTAGTTTGATTGAGAGAGGTTCGAAACCGGTTAGCTAGCTCGTTCTTCATTTTTTTCTTTTAGTTATAATCGTGTGTTAGTATTAAAAATACAAATACTCCTAAACAAACAAATTTATTGCTAACGTTACCCTCTACCTCGAGTGCCCTGTGGAACTTGTTAAGGGTGAACCTTTCTGTAAAAATAACTGTTTTTCATCATAGAATATTGGGCTTCAATTCATTTCTTTATCTTTTTTATGCACTGTATCCATTCTAAACATGTGCGATCATGGCTCTCCACAACTTCCTGACTTTTCTTTCTCTAAGTAACTTTTGATCCGTTGTAATCCATTACGTTCTGTCATCCCTTCACATAAACTTTTGAGTAGCTTACTTGCTGCTTCTCCTTGCTTCTCTTGCCTTCACTATATTAAGATATGAAAAACTTGGTAATCCGCATGGGTAATCCCAAGGAGGATGAAATCCTGAGAGCACAATGTTTTTCGTTTCATCTTTTGGAAGTGCTATCTGATGATCTGGCGTCCTTTAAAAGGGCCCTGGTGAAATATATATATATATATATATATATATATATATATATATATATATATATATATATATGTGTGTGTGTGTGTGTGTGTGTGTGTGTTACAACCTCGTGTATTTTATGTATTTGATGTGCCAAGATATACGTTAACTTCAGGCCCTCTTTGGTGCAGAGCCCAAATTGGAAGCAATTGATCTAGTCGGCTTAAGGTCGCTCCTATACATCTGCAGGGAAATTGTACAACCTTCAATACCATATATGAGATTAGATATTACATCGCAGTTCAGCAATCTTTTCTTTTTTTTCTAACGATATTTTCACATCTCTTAATACTTTGCTTAGTTTCTATCAGAAATCTTTTGCCATTTCTATGCTCCTGCGGATTTCTGTGTCATATTTTCTGTCAAATATATGTTAATATACTATCCAGATACCATATATTTCCGCCTATAAGGCGACCTTTAGATACGACGAGGTAAAAATATATAGCAAATTTTAATGAATTTATCCTACACCTGTAGTATAAGACGACTGCTTATTGATTATATAATGATGATATTGGAAATGTTGTTACTGTCCCTTAGAAATTGAAAATAAACAGAATAAAAACGACTGTATATCATGTTTTTCGTACACACGTTCCTGAATGAGAAACCATTGTTTTGTTTACGTTTCATCACGTGATCTCTTGCGAACTCTTATTTTTCTTCTTTCTCTTCTATTCCTATATCGAAACAGTTACAAACAGCCTGATGTACTAATGGCTATTTACTTATACAATCCCAAAATACCGCTAATAACAATACGATAATGTACGATAATACTACATTCTACTTTCAACATTTTTTGTCTTCAGTTTTTTATTCATTATTGAAAGTTTAGCGAAAGATAAAAGTTGCTGTGAACGCAATCATAACTGGATGTTTAACATTTTCTCAGCTGAGTTTGCATGGATACAAGTTGATTTCATTGATATTGAATTATTCTTCGACTAAGCAATTTATTATAAAGTTAGGCCAGTAATATATAAGGTAGAAATGGTTTTATTACATTTATTATCAGTTTATTTGATAATGTGAATCTTTTTGCGTACGTTATTGGTTATTACATCGAGGGTGAGGTTAGCCTATCGACAAACATCACTCAGATTTTAAGGGTTCTTTTTGAGAAATGTAGTATAAAATTATCTCCAAATTTTAATGATGATTTTTGGGACTTAAATATCGTCTTATACGCGGAAATACACGGTAAATAGATTTTACTGATAGTATTTATAAAAATGTTCCAGTAAGAAAAGAAAAATAACGTCTTTTATGTTTGAGGTATATTTGATTTTGGGGATTCAAAGATTTTTAACCCAACAAAGCAAACGAAACCCTCCTGATAACATGACTCAGGCATACAGATTTCTAGCTTGACTATTAAAATAATCTTTAAAATATCTCAAATTATTTTAATTCCCTATTTTACAAAGAATATATTTTTGTTTCAAGCTAATAGTTTTAATTCTTGCCTTTAAATATAATTTTCTGTTCATTATAACCTTATAGGAGGAAGATTTAATGATGGTACATTGGGTTCAAATAAATTAACAAATTAACATGAAATGTGTGAGTATGTGTATATATGTTTGTGTGTGTATATGTGTGTGTGTGTGAGAGAGAGAGAGAGAGAGACAGGCAGACAGACAGAGAGAGAGAAAGTGGTATGGGGAGAGATCTATTGTTTTATTACTTTTATTATAAATTTATCTCTATCTATAAAAGGCAGGATGTATGTGTGTGTGTAACGAATGCACGGCCGCAATTTTCGACGGATTTGCACCAAAATTTACATGCGCATACTCCAAGTTAGCGGAAAGGCCAAGACTGACTTTGCATTTCCCAACTCCCATCGATAGTGGAAATAATCGATTTTTTCATGCTTCTACGGCAGTTTTTATGTAGTTTGCGGCCATTTTGTACTGGACAGAGTGAGAGCCTATAGCTGGCTGCCACGAATAGGCAGGAAGATTCTATTGTCCAGCGTGAGAGCCAACAGCTGACTGACACGAATGTTAACTAGCATGCTAGCATGCAAAAAAAAATCGATAGCTGCATTCGTCACAAGTGGGGAGAAATTTAAGTCTGCATGGTACTTTACTCCAAATGACACATTCGCTTTCTTAAACTCAACGTTGATTCTGATTCCGCAGAACTGGGTTCGGTGTGAAAAAGTATTTCTTGTTAACATTTTTTTTTCATTCGGTTTTTCCAGTTACGAGTCCTTTTTTTAAAGCTGATCGTTTTGTGTTCATTTTGTTTAGTTCTTATTTCGTAACAGATTCAATGTTTAGTATAGAGCTTAGAAATAATTCGCAGTGTGAGATAGGCAAGAAGTAAGGCATGTAGCAACATCAGCACGGCAAAGGGCACTCCTTTAAAGGCAAGGAAGGGCAAAAATATTTCAAGTTAAGTGATAGCGATTGCTGTATGAGTCGTACGATTTTTGAATCAAGCACGGGCATCGCTGGGTCATGCTGCTAGTTTGATAATATAATTGTTTAGTCTACCGACAAACATTACTCAGAATTTAAGGTTTCTTTTTTAGTATTGTAGTATAAGACGATCCCTAATTTTTAAGGATAATTTGGGGGATTTAAAGGTCGTTTTATGTGCGAAAATATAAGGTAGTCCAAATTTGATTACGTCATAAAAAATTAATAGGAGAATGAAAAACTAGTAATAAAAATAATGGAATCGTTTTTTAATTAGATATATCGATGTATAATTCAATAATTATCATAGCAGAGGATAAG